AAAAAGCATAGGCTGTCCTGTTTTTAACCAGACACGGCCTAGCCTAGCTTATATAAAACCTAATGTTACATGCCAATAAATAAGATACTGTTTTGATAAGTACACAAGATATAATGAATCTGCAAATCCTGCATCGTTTGCAAAACAAATCCCTCAAATGCCGGACAGCCAGACAGTAAAAACCAGACAGCCAGCTGTTAAATGCTAAGTTAGCATGCTAGTTAGCTGCCTTAGCTAAGTAACCATTTGTAGCAAATGAGCAGTTACTTGTCTGGTTTATTGTGTCTGTTTATTCCACTGTATGAGCAATAGTCAGAGCTGTGTATCAATCCTTTATCCTGACATGTACACCCCCTTTAGGTGCTGTTTCCGTATCGGGTCTGTATGAATGAAAATGAGCCAGCTAACAGGCTAGGCTAGCATTAGCTGGGTGGGTAGCTTTGCCGCTGACAGCAACACTTCCGGTTTCAGAAAATCACTCGATGTGAAGACCCTGTTTAAAAGACAACCACGGATCTAGAGTGTGTGATAAACTCACCCCGGTGCCATTGTCACAGACCACCACTTTCCTTCCCTGGCTGTCCATTATGTTAAAGCCCAGTAGCCGCTGAACCTTCCTCAACTTTCTTCGGCAAGCCGGAAGGAAGACACACCAACCCGGCCGAGAGGAGGAAGGGAAGGGAAGGGTGGAGAACATCCGGCGACTGAGGTGTTCAAATTTCACTTCCAAAACTGTTGTTCAATGTTCATCTTTACACTTTTTACATTCAAAATGATAACAAATACAATAACATAATGATTGCCTTGACAAAAAACTGTTATAAGGTCCTAGATCCATGTATTCAGAGCAGCCTATACAATTTCCACATGCAATATGTTAGTTTCTATTTCCTACATCAGTCTGGATCTTCAATTAAATTCTTCATCTTTTATTTCTTTGTCCTCTCAATTTGATTAACTTAATATGAGTGTGTTCAGTAATCATTAAAAGAAAGATCATACATGACTTAAATAGCAAAAATACATCCTGAAGTTCAGTTATTTTATTATCGACATTTGAAATATCCATAGAAGGAAAATATAGTTTTATATTTCACATACCTTCATGAAAGCCACTTCTTCATTCTTTATGTCTCACATATCATTTTAGTATATTTATACATTTATCAAGGATAATTTAACATACAAAATAAGGTGACAATAAATATACAATCAAACAATAATTAAGGTGGTGAAATAAATGAATAAATATGTGTTTGGGTGAGTTGTTCACCATAATAAATCACAACACTCAACTTTAAAAAGACTAAAACAAACCAGGTCAAAACTGAAATCCTGCTTTTTTGCACAAGACAGAATATAGCCAGCAGGGGGAGTAATTACACTGAAGCAGGTATTTTAACTCACTGTAGAGTCCACAATGCCTCTTGTTTTGGAGTATTTGAATCCTGTGTATATTGCAATAAGCTAATTAAGAATTGGGTGTAAATATTGTGGAGATCACATATCACTATAGTTTTGGGGAACATCATTCTTTGGGTAGGAGGATGCTTGGGAACATGAGGACCTTGGCCTGCATGAAAGAAAGGTGAGGCAGACCAGAGATCAGCCTGCAGGCCTCTGCACTCAGATCCTCGTCGTCCTGCTGAGGTTTCCTGATGGAGAACACACACCGGATTAAAAGACACACAGAGAAGACAAGGAAATGTTGCATTAATTATACAGTAAATATCCTTGTTTTTAGATTTAAAGGTCACCTATTATGCAAAATCCACTTTTTTATGTATCTTCTACATCTACACATATCCAATACTCTGTGTAAAGAGATTCTAAACGTTTCAGGAAAAAAAGATTCTCTCTCTTTGTGTCCTGATCCATTTATATAAAAACCTGATCAGATTTTGGCCACTTTATGATGTCATAACGATTTGTTGTCTTGTGTAACCATTAGCCAATCCCCCCCACCTTATCACCTGAATCTCCTCCTAGAGCCCCATTGTGTTCTTTTTAACCAAATGTCTCTCAGAGGGGCGTGGGGAGGGGCTCCTTATTTTCATCTAAAGTAACAGACAGAGAATCAGCACTTTTGAAACAGGGCTGAAACAGAGGGGATTATGGGATGCTGCAATCATCTGTTTGATATTTTGAGCCAAACACTTCAGAGACATGTTCTGTATATATCTGAGACCTATAATATATAGATGAAAAACAGTATAATAAGTGTCATAGTAAAACAAAAATATTAAGAGTGCATGAATGTTACAAAGGAACAGACCTGACAGCAGGGCTGGTTGTCTCTGCAGCCGACATCAGGCGATTCAGCGTGTCCTCTATGTGGATAATGCTAACACCCGTTTCCAGTTTGCTGATGGTCAACTCATACAGCTCCGGGTCAACTCCTTTACATGTGAGTGTGTGTAGCAAACACACATACAACTCAATGAGTGTCAAGAGGACTTTTACACCCACAGCACAAGCTATATTTATAGCAGCAGCATTATGGATTACTTCATATTTCTAATTTCAACCTCATTTATAATACAATCTGACCTGGAGGAGGACTGTTGCTACGGCTACTGCTGCTGCAGGACCTGCTCTCCTCCTCAGGACCAAAATAATCCAGGTTGAGAGCAGAGCAGTCTGTGCTAACAAGGGAGACAGGGGGTGAGGATTATTGGGGGGTGAGAAAGAATGAGGTAGCTTGATTTTTTATTCATAAAAGAAGAAGAATGTTTTCTCCTTTTACTGAGACAACGGGGAAGACTGAGAGTGGGGAACAAAGCAAAGAAAGCTCAACAAAGAAATGCAAAGCTGTTGGTATTCCTTAAAAATTAAAAATCAGAGACATCACATAGAATAAAGTTCCAGAAACATGGACATAACATGACTCAGGAGATGGAGGTCAGAATCGCTGCCGAAGTCAGTCGTCAGTATGTCACCCACATTGATTGTATTCAAAAATATTGAAAAACTCGGATCATTTTGATTTGTTTCTGCAAAAGCTGTTTTTTCAAATATTCCTCTAATATCTTAAATTGAAAAAGAACCAGCTAATCTTGAAAATGACACCACCTTTTTGTTTTTTACACCTTTTGACTTAAAAACAAAACGGACCCCATATCCCAGCAGGCTGTGTGGTGCGTGAATATTCCAACTTTGCATTCATCCACAGAAGAAAGGGATTCAGCTTCCATTGAGAGAGGAACGCTGAGAGAAGAGAGGTGAAACCAAGCAGAAACGATCGACTGATTTATTTCAGTATTTACAAGGATGTTCTACAAGTCGTTATTGCAGTCAGTGCATTACATCTGGATTTGAGCAGTACATCTAAAAAATAAAAAAATGTAAATAAACTAGCTATACGTAGGTCCAAAATCCAATAACCTTTTAGAAAACAATTGCTGGCATAAAGGCACAACTCATATTAATTACTGTAACTCCAGTTGTATAAACAGTTCTGATTGGTAATGAAATATTGACAGTTATGAATTTTCCTCAGACTGAATTGCTTTGGAAATAAACACTTCTTTATCCTGTTCAGCTGCTCATAAGTACTGAATACGCATCAGTGCACAGGGAGTAAAGCAAAGAAAAATAATAAAAGCAGCATAAAATGACAGCGGTAATGATTATTAGAATTATGACAATAATCTCCAACGCATTGGAACCTAACCACACAATAAATGCATTAATAAAGTATTACTACAAACACATCCTTTAGTGGTGACTGGTTGTTTGAATTTAAAGGGCCTAAAATCTCTTGATTTGTTCCTCGTGAATACAGTACACGTGTTTTGAGCACCTACAGAGAATATACTGCCCTCTGCTGTCCAAACTTTACTATTCCAACACTGTTTGGACGTCAATGATCCATTTTAAATCAATGAACACAAACAAAGTAGGGGCTTCAAACAAAGGGCCTAAACTCAAACCTGTCTGCATGCTGACTTTTACCACTTTGTGATTTTGTGATTTAAGAAAAGTCAGTTATCTTAATGAGCAATAGTTTCGCAATAAAACATTTTGTCATTCTTCTTTTTTATACTTTTACTTTGCCCACTTCCAAAACATGCAAAATTGGTTCTGCTGCACATTTCATACAACACTTTTATTTTCTTTAGCAGCATCTAATCTGCAACACTTTTTCTGGTCTTTCTCTGGTTCGGTCTTTTAATTAAATGTACCAAAGAAAGCCCTGCACATAAAATAACGGTAATAATAGCAACAATTACTGATGTATACATAAGGATAGTCATTTAATTAGAAACACATCCTTTGTGTGTAATACTGATGTAAACACTACTACTAAAAATGTGATAAATTACATCAAATATCTCCTGAGCAAAGAATCACTCTAATACCTGTGTTGTCTTTTTTGGTTTCTCTTTATCAAAAGGTCTAACTTAACTGTGGGACATTTTACCTTTTGGCAAGCTCATATGGGCAAGTAAATAGCTTCCAACGAAAACTAAACACTGTTTAGAAAAAGGGCCAGAAACTGGATAATGGTGTCAGATTTATGGGCGTCATCATTCTTAGTGCATTATATAGTCATGCACTGGGAAAAAGGTAGAAGAGTAAGTTCAACCTTCACAGTGGTTACAAATAAATCCAATAAAATTGTCCTTTTGTATAAAAAAAATCCAAGGAATCGTCATGGCAGATGTTGTGACGATGCTCCATGAATTGACTGATATTAGGATGAGTAAATAAGGTCAGTGCTTTGGGGATGTATCTAGCCGTACCCTCAGGTATTTTGTGTTGTAGTTTAAAAGGAAATGCACCAAAAGAGTTCATCCTGTTTTTCCCTTGTAGTCCCTAGGTGTTATCACGTCAACATGGACGCCACAATGTGTCCACATAACAACTGGGACTGATAAATACTGAGATGAATTCTTTGTAAACGCTGGCAGCAGGTAAAGATGAGACACTAGTTGAAGGAAGGAGAAAAGGGTAGCCAATACAATGTTTCCCCAAAAATGGTTCTGGAATCAATTATGTGTTATTTTTATGCTTTTTATCTTACTTTGAGTCCAAGTTTAGGGACTGGGTCTGTTGGATGTTATATGTGTGCAAGTATTCTTGTTTGGACAGATTATAGAGACTGTGTTTCATTAGGTGAAATCACAAGATGTTGTGGTCACCCACTGAGTGAGTGGAGGGGAATCAAAGGGTAAATTAAAAGCAGCAGAACATGCCCTGAAGGAAGTGAGGAGGAGTCCAGAGAAACTGCCAGAGGTTCATTAGAAGAAGAAGAAGAAGAAGAAGAAGAAGAAGAAGAAGAAGAAGAAGAAGAAGAAGAAGAAGAAGAAGAAGAAGCCACGCAGGGACAGCTCAAACTGTGGTCTACTTCCAGCCCCAGAAGTGAGGGGCTCTGCGGGGGGACGTACCGTCCTGAGAGCTGCTCCAGGACAGCTGCCGGGGGGGGAGCGCCTCCTGCACACAGAGAGAACAGAAATAAATATGTCTCTTATCAGAATAGTACCTTAGCAGTAAGGTACGTTTATTTATATAGCACATTTTCAGACACAGAGGAAATTCAAATTGCTTTACATCATCATTAACAACAAGACAACAGAAAGGAACACAATAAATAAACATAATGGAATAACAGATTCATAAAAACCATGCATAAAAGAGATACCTGATAGTTTAAAAACAACATTGTAAATACGGTAGGTGCTAAAAGAAGTTAAAGGATTTCTGGGTAAGCAGATGAAAAAAGTAATGTTTTTAGCCGCGACTTAAAAGAACTCAGGGTTGGTGAAGACCTCAGGTACAGCAGGGTAAACGCTGAGCAATAGGACACCTGTCTTGAATCTTGTTTGTTATTTGTAAATCATAACATATCAGGTATGGATTTAATCTGCAGATACTCTGGTTCAGAATGAGAACAAACTTATTTTTTACACTTTGATTTTAGGTGCCTACTGCTAGAAATACTTTGACTACTGAAGCACTTTCTGCTGATTAAGAGGAATGCAGAGCCAGCAGTCAACAGTGTTACAGTCAATCAAATACTGCAACCACAAGAGGTCCTTCAGCGTACAGTAACAAAAAGTGAGAAAAACATTAGGCTGATGGGTCCAGCAGTTTGCTCGACTGACTGCAGCATGATCTCCCCACTGGCTTACACCTGGCGAGAGATAATTGAATGAAATCAAAGAGTCAAATTTACCTGCATTGAGTATGTTTTGTGGTCCAGTGAGCCGGGGGGTTTTGGAGGTGTTGTCTGTGTGGTGATGACGGCTGTGTGTCGTGGAGAACTGACAGATGGTACAGAGTCTTTGGTGGGCTCCAGCATTCCCTGAGGAGTATTAAGTTGGAAGAACATTACAAAAAAAAACAAGTGGAAAAATCTGTAATCATAAAAAATGCTTCTTCTTCCCAATGAGGCCAAATCAATGTAGTTCATACTCACCAGGCCGGATGCAAAAGCTGGCACAGCCACTGGCTGCTTCTTCATGCCAATGAACACCTTTTAAAAAGAGAAAATAGAACTAACTTTTACCAAAAGCCACCACAGTAGAGTCACAGCTTGTAATTCTATCCCTATTAATTCTTCCCCAGTTTAATATTCTGTATAAATACTGTAAGTCAAGCTTTTTCATTTGCCCTTGGATTGACTGTGGGGCAGTGCTCTTTAACACTGAATGCTATATTATTAAAAGTTTACTGCTGTTTTGATAAACTCACAATGTTCCTCGTCTCCACACCAAGGCACCTGAGTAGAGTCCTGTTAGTGTAGGAGCCCCCCCACTGAAACTTGAGGCCAACTGCTTCATGGAGGTCCTGGTGTGGCAACCACACCCCCCGCCCAATCCTGAGAAAGGAAAAGCAGCAATGTGTCGTATTCAGGGGAATTATTAATTAAAAGAATAACTGCTGCATCCTGAAAGTGTCACAAAATGTTAACATATCCACCATCAACACCATTTCCAGAGAGTCAAACTCACCACTGAGACCTGGGACAGAGTGCAGGTTTCTTCTCCTCCTCCTCCT